GTGTGTGTGTGCGTGTGTGTGTGTGCGTGTGTGTGTGTGCGTGTGTGTGTGTGTGTGCGTGTGTGTGTGTTCGTCTATCCGGGTATTTCAGTTCGCCAACCACGCAAGCTTTGAAGCTGAAATTTTGCTAGTGTGTTCCCCAGCCAAGTGCCACTCCAGGACCGAGTATTAGCTCTCAAGCACATTTAGGCCCGCGTACGAGCAAGTGAAAGTTTTGACGTAAAAATTGCTAACTTGTTCCCGAGTTACCAATTTTCCCGTCAAAACTTTCACGTGCTCGTATGCGGGACCTGTAGATGTGCATGAGAGTTAAACTAGAAAGCTAAGAACATAGGGGAATGTTCCCTACCTGTGTATGACAAAAAGATTTCAAATTCAGCTTCCCAGGACTTATGTGCGGGCATGTGAAAATTGTGGCGGAAAAATTCATAACTCGGGGATGAGAAAAGCTAGAAAGTTGAAACTTTGGGAGAATGTTCCCTACTCACGCACGACCAGAAGTTTTCAAACTCAGCTCTTTAGAACTGCCCGAGACTCACGTACGGGCACATGAAAATTTTGGCGCGAAAATTACTAGCCCGGAAAAGGGAATAACTAGGAAGCTGAAGCTTTAGGGTAATGTTTCCCACTCATGTACAACCGAAATCAGGTGTTTAGAAGCACCCGAGGCTCACGTACGGGCATGTGGAAATTTTGGCTCGAAAATCACTAACCCGGGAACGAAATAAGCTAGGAAGCTGAAATTTTACGGGGATGTTCTCTACTTATGTACGCCAAAATCAGCTGTTTAGAGACGCCTGGGGCCCATGTATGGGCACATGGAAATTTTGGCGGGAAAATCACCAACCCGGGAACGAAAAAAGCTAAAAAGCTGGAACTTTAGGGTAGTGTTCCCCACTCATGTATGACCAAAAGATTTCCAATTCAGCTCCTTAAAACCGCCCGATACTCATGTACGGACACGTGAAAACTTTGATAAGGAAACTGCTAACTCGGGAATGGGAAAAGCTGAAGGCTTTAATTTTAAAGGAATGTCCCCTACTCATGTGCGACTAAAAGATTTTAAATTTAACTCTTCTAGTGTGGCCTTTTTTGCGGACCAGCAACTCTTTCCATTTGTCGGGTCACTGAACTCGACATCTACAGCTGCACAATTAACTTCCTGAACTTCGAGGGCCAGTATGTCACAGGGTTAGCTACTGTGGTTTCTTGCGATCTTGCTACGGCACGGAAAGTGGAAAAACGCATATTCCTACCGGCCCGCCTGGTGCGTTCCAGCCTGGGTTTCCTTCCGTATCCTACACCTTTTTCCCTTCATTATCCAAAAAAATTTTTTCCCTTTCATGTCCTTCATTTTTCCTTCTTATCTATCTACCTGTCCTATGTACCTACTTACACTTCCTCCTTCCTTTACCAGTCTGCATTACTTCCCATACCTTTTACTTTTTCATACTTTCTTTAATTTTGCTTATTTTATCTCCCATTAATTATAATAACAATATTATTATTATCTAAATCTTTCATAATATTAGTACTGTAATAATAATATAATTCAGTTTTTCTATAGATAGTCTAGACGAATTCTTAAATACCCAGATTTTACACTAATAACATTAATAAATAATATTGTAAGTACCCTTCAAGAAAAACCTATCTGGAACGGAAATGTATTCAAAAACTCACTCTACGGTAAGATTTTTTTATATATCGACTTCACTCACTCTTTCCCGTTATTACTCAACTGTGTATTATTACTTTACCTATCCCATTCTAATAAAACAATTTAAATTTTAATCAACTCCATGTTAAATATCACACTCGTCGTACTGACGAGGTCCAATTGTGGTAATGGTGAGAAATGCATATAACTTAATGGACCGAAACATTTCTTACCATTAAAAATATTTTCAACATTTTATTAGTTCTCCTTTTAACATTAAAACATTTATTTTATTTTATTTATCATATTCCCAAATCATTTGCAGTGCGATACGACCGAAGAGTTTCGCAATGCCCCGGTTACTTACTCTTCATGGCGAAGAAAATTGAGTTGCTGAGATTGTCTAGCAACATATCTTTATGCTTGCGGAAAAAGAAAATCCGCAATCGCGTTGATATCAGTGTTGTTAATCTCAGCAACAGTGTCTTCATCCACGGACTTGTGCAGCATGATGGTGTTTATGGTGTTCTTACTGGTATCCAAAATTTCTGCACGCATTGGCACAATGAAAAGCAGAAAGTGTTGGCAATGGTAAGGCAGTTTGAACTGCCAACCTTTTTCCTCACTCTTTCAGCGGCTGAGTGGCCCGAACTTCTGCAATTTTTGAAATGAGTTGTTCATAACGAAAGCATTACTTCAGCAGATGCACTTACGTTATCATACACTGAAAAATCGAGGCTCATTCAGTTGGATCCAGTTACCTGTGCACGATACTGTAATTACCGGTATCAAGAACAGAGGAAGCTGTGGGATCTTCCTGACGGCCCATTCGAAGGCATAGCAATTACACACTCATATTACAGAGTGGAATTACAGCAGCGAGGGCCGCCTCACATACATCAACTCCTCTGACTAAGCGACGCACCAGTTTTCGACACGGTCTCTGGTCAAAATGAACGTGACGTATGCAGTTTCATCGAAGGATTCATTGCATGCTCCTTTGCGATTGATCTTCAGGATCAACAAGGACTCAGTCGCAGTCCACATTATCTTGAATTTCAGTATCACAGATATGCTATTACATGCGGCAAATGTAAGACAGGGAAATGCAAATTTGGTATACCGTTTTACCTAGTGCGCAACACCAGAATTCTGCTACCACTGCCTGAGAACACTGACGAGCAGGAGTGTAAGTGCCTTGCAGGAGTGCTAAGGCGAATAAAAGGTGTTTCGACCGAGAACGAAAACTTGGAGAACATACTTTTGATGAATTCCTGGAAAGATGTCAGGTTACAGACGAAAAATACTTGCTAGCAATAAGGGCCGAACTACGAAGATGCAAAGTTTTCCCACGACGTACTCCCTCGGATGTAATGATTAACCCGTACTCACCGAAAATACTGTCCACAGTGAGGTCCAATTTGGATCTGCAGTATGTGCTCGATCCATATGCGTGTGCATCCTATATCATTGACTACATCAGTAAGTCCGACCGAAAGGTTGGCGCAACAATTGAAGAAATGGTGAAGGAACTGCGCAAGCAAAACAATACTCTGCGTGAAGTAATACGAAAAATCAGCAGTGTCCATTACAACGGCGCCGAAATTTTAGCACAGGAAGCTACATACAAGAAATTTTAGCACAGGAAGCTACATACAACATCTTGCAGCTGCCAATGTCGTGCAGCACTGAGCAGGTTATCTTTATACAAACGTCTCCGCCAGATGAGCGTGTGTGAATTGTTAAGTCACAGCACCAACTCTGTAACCTTGACCCTAGCTCCAGCGACGGCTTCATGCATGGACTGCTGGAACATTACACAAAGTGTCCAGTTCGGATGGAAGGCGTTACACTTACCGACTTTGCTGCATGCTATAACTACAGTAAAGCCAGATCAGGTCTAGCTTCGCTGCCCACTGCAACGGAAGACCAAAAAACTGAGAATAATGAGTTGCAAGGCGGAACTGCAGATAGACAATTTGTATGTCTAATGGATGGGGCGAAATTTATTCGGAAACACTCTCGACCAAAAGTAATCCGCTATAGAATGTACAACATTCATAGAGAGCCGGAGCTGTTTTATCGTGAAACAGTGATGCCATATCATCCATTGAGAAATGAAGAAGAAACGATAGGCGCAGACTGTGAGGCGTTCTACAACACAAATCGCGAAGAAATTATGCGGATTAGGAAACAGTACTTCTCAAACAATGTTCTTGAGACTGTGATGGAGCAAGCACAAAACGATGTCCGAGACCGTGAAGTGGAAGAAGAGGCCGATATCACTGCGCCAACTTTTGACTTCGGTAATAATCACCTTGATCAGGAACAAGTGCATGTCGGTAGCGAAATGTATGAGCGAAACCCATATGTCGAGAATTTCCAACTGCCTAATCAGCTTTCCAACACAAAGTTCGAAGACATGCTGAGCTCTCCAGACTACGAACAGAGAAAGACAAACAGTCCCATGTTTCAAGCGCGACAACAGTCCCATGTGCCATTTCGTAACAGGTGGAGTTGGAGTAGGAAAAAGCGTCCTTATCAGAGCTGTATATCTATTTCTGGTCCGAATATTTTCAAAGCGACTGGATCTAAACCTGGACTTCCCCTCTGTCTTGCTATCTGCTCCAACGGAGAAGCAGCGTTCAGTTTCAAAGGGCTTACCCTTCACACGCTGTTTCAACTGCCTGTCAATTCGACGACTCTTACGGAGCTTTTCGCAGATAT